AAGGAGCAGCGGCTTTATTACCCGGGGTAATCAGTGGCCAAATGGTGCGCCAGAGGAGCATCCTGCAACCACAAATCGGTCGGGTGCGACATGTACAGCTACGGTGCTTCCGAGGCCAACCAAAGGAAAGAAAGAATCCCACTTGGCCAAGATCAGATACTCCCGGCGCCCGGCTTCCGGGAGGGCTAGCCTCGATGCCGATGCCAGAGACAAGGAGGCCACCACCATCTTGGAGGGTGACGGCCGAGGAGAGGGGCTGTATGTGGCCCTAGTGAAGGGCGAGGTGGATGGCGGCGGAGGCAGTAACGGAGGAGGAAGAGGAGGAAAGCTGTATGTGGCCGTCGGGAAGGACGAAGAGGATGGCAGGTCCAACCTCCTCTGGGCCGCTCGGAACCTCCTCGCCTGCGATGACAAGCTTGTCTTGCTGCACGTCCACCAGCCCGCCCACAGAATCATGACCGGTAAAATTAAGCTCCAAACTCTCTTCACAAAGTAATGAAGATACACAATAAAATGATTTCCTTCTCCACACTACGTACTTATATTGTTGTTGCTTCTGTCTTCAGACACTTGCTTAATTAGTACTCCCTCCATTCCATAATGTAGTGCCTATAGATTTTTACAAAAGTCAAACAGTACAAACTTAATTTGACCATGTTTATAGAGAAAAGTAGGTACATCTAGAATACCAAATGCACATCATTGGATACATTGTGAGTTATATTTTTAGAATGTACATGTTTGGTATTGTAGATGTAGACAGTTTTCTCTATACCCTTGGTCAAAGTTGGCAAAGTTTGACTTTCACAAAAATCTATAGCACTACATTGTGGAATGGAAGGAGTACTACAATATATCCATCTGTATCTATCTATCTGTCTGTCTGTCTCTCTATATATTTATCAATCTATCTATCTATTTTTCTGTCTATATCTATCTATCTATCTATGCTGATCAAATTCTTGTGTCGCAGGATTTCGCACGGTCGATGCAAGCCAGCTCCAGGAGAAGGAGCTCAAGGCATACCGGAAGGATGAGGAGGAGGAGATGAACACACTTTTGAACCACTACCTCGACTTCTGTAGAGATTCTCTCAAGGTCTGCTCAGCTAAAAACTGGCCAATTCCATTCTGAAAATCATGATGCATGTATTTTATTCACTACTTGTCGATTCAGAAGAAGAAAAAAACTTTATTCTTTACAGATGCAAGCCGAAACGCTGGTGACCAAGAACAGTACTGCAAATGGCATCGTCAAGCTCATCGAACAGAATCACATCACAAACCTTGTCATGGGAACATCCTCCTTCTCGCCTGACGTCCAGACCAAATACACCTTCGTAATGAGGTTTCATCGATAAACACACACACCGCGGACTGTGCTTGTTTCTGTGCACAAATATATATAGGGCAAAGCACTTGTGTAATTATATGTAAATTTCTTATTTCATGTACGTGAATTAATGTCTCCGCTATTGTAAACAAGCGGCGATAAAACAGCTAGGATGCACAACCCATTAATCGGTATTAAAACGCGGCCCTTTTGTAAGTTGACACATAATCCAGAATTTGTCTTCCTTGTCTAGTATTACTTAGTTAGCAAATGACAATTAATCACAATACACTCCCAATAACAAAACACTACTAGTACATAATATGGATTTACTAATTAGTATGGGTTTACTTAGTATAACACACAATACACTCACAATCTGTATTACTTAGTTAGCAAATACTCCATTTAATATGTCTTCCTTGTCTGGTATTATTTAGTTAGCAAATGACACACAATACACTCACAATTAGTATGGCCTGAGTTATGTATGTTGATTATATGGATGGTTGCTTTATTTATAAACCGGGGCGAAAGCCTATTTCAAAAGAGAGTTGTATATGTTGATCGTGAAATCTTTCATGTGGACAGGAAGAACAAAGCACTAAACTCAAAAGTTGCAGCTATTGTGCATCAACAAGCCAAACCATATTGCCAGATCTTCTACATATGCAACGAGACGCTTGCTTGCTCTAGGTATGGCCGGCCATGCATGCATTGCAGCCCTCGGCTCGACATAAAAAAATTGCTACATAGAATCTGTGAATTTAGTTTCTCAAAGAAAAAATCTGCAAATTTGAGCTCGATTGACTACCCAAAGTTATTTCCAGCTGACAAAACAACGGTTCATCATTTTCAGAGAGGCCACTCAGCGTTTGATAAAAGTAGAGTCACCGCAAAGCGGCTACACAAGCACTGATTCAGACCGATCCGAGTTCCCTACAAGATCCCAATCACTATCACCAGGGCGTACAGGTTTCTTCGGTTCCACAGATCAAAAAGCCCTTCAACAAGAGTCCAAGCAGCCAGTTAGCTATACATATCCCTTGTCAGCATCGATAACAGACAGCACGGAGACCATACTAGGTGCAAGGGGCCGGTCAATTCATACAACGACATCAACAGGTTTCTCCCCGAATTCCCACCAGAAAATCTTTCGAGGATCTTCACCAGTTCTAAAGGATTTGGATAATATGAATGGTTCACTTGTACCTGTTTCAGTTGCAAGCTCTAAAGAACATCAACACTCTATGGTAAGTCATTTTGGACTGAGCAGAGTTATCATCTAAGCATAGCCACAGCTTGTTCATTTCAATTGTCGTAAATTTATAGCGAGAAATGCTCGTCCATTATCCAAAAAAACTATTAATGTGAAATCAAGTACTCCATCCGATCCATATTAATTGTTGCTGATTTAGTTGACAATTAATATGGTTTGGATGGAGTACTATGTGGTTAAAAATGAGTATGCAATATAGGCCACATGCTTGTGTGAACATCGGAGATGTGACACTTTCTTCAAATTATAGTAAGGTAGTTTAATACTTCATGTACTCCACTGAACAACAGAAGTCAACAATAGAATGTGTTCTACTTAACTACGGAAGTCAACAATAGAATGCGTTCATGGCTGTAGTCACATTCAACCAGTAGTGTATCTAACACTTTCCACTAGCTAGCACTATGTAAACACTAGAGATGATACCTCGCATGGCAACGCCTGTGAATTGGTTGTATGCAATTATTTCAAGAGATTTGGTTGTATGAAAGATTGGTATTTGGGTTAACAATTTGAAAATTGAAACTAAAATACATATAATATTGTACTCTCTCCATTTACTTATACAAGGCCACTATGGAATATATGTTTTGCATCTATACAAGGCCACCAACAGTAATCGAGAAAAAAATTAATGGTATTTCCTCATACTCCCTCCGGTCCTTTTTACTCTGCATATTAGGTTTGTCTGAAGTCAATCTCATCCAACTTTGACCAAGTTTATGTAAAAAATTATTGACATTTACATAACAACACCAACATCATTAGATTCATCTCGGAATATATTTTCATATTATATTTATTAGATATTATAGATGCTAATAATTCCTAATATAAATTTGGTCAAACTTAGCTAACTTTGACTTTCGGCAAATCCAATGTGCAGAGTAAAAAGGACCGGAGGGAGTACTAGCAACCTGTTTAATACTTGCATGCATGCCATCATAATGACATTAGCCACTTCCTCCACTCAGTTTTCTTGCATGCATGTTGCGTATTAATGATCACAGTAAACGAAAAGAAAAGTTGCCTTGCAGATTATGCATTAAATTTTACCTTTGGTACCTGTAATATGAGTTTGTGGTCTTGTATATAAAAATGGAGGGAGTATAAGACATTTTAGATCACGTCTTATATTTGTTTACAAAGGGAGTATTTGATTATTGTATAGTTGTAGAATATTTATTGAATATAAGTAGTATGCATGGTGCATGGTAATGTGGGTCCTCTGCATGCATGGTGGCATGGTGAGATGGCATAGTTGCGTGTTGAGAGAATTAGAGTTAGTGGGGATCGAGTAGGTGTACAGGATTCCACCTTTTAATAACTTCAAATCCTGTTGCTATTGCTCTATCATCTAGATTTTATTTTACCAACTAAGGTCTTTCGTTTTTTGTCGTAGTTGTAATACTTATTGGATGATGCTGGCATACCTATTGAATTCAAAGCAAACATGTGTATTACAGATAGAAACCGCCGTGCAATGAGAAGTGTTCGGGCAACTACAGCTACTCCTTGATGATCATGAGTGCTCAAAAAGAGAAGCAATTGAGGATCAACACAAAACAGCAAGGGGTCTGTTTGAAAATCCTATGATGGTATGCTATTTGTAATTGCCACATGCCTTCAACCATCCATTATTGATGCCTAATATGTTATTGTATTTTCCCAACTTTTCTTGTGTAAACACTTGGAAATTGTGTATGTTAGATGGTGCACCTGTCTCTCAACTAAGCCAATTGTTTTCTTGCAGTCCAAAGCACAGGAGAATTCACTCCGCAGAGAGAAAAATGAGCTAGAGGAAAGACTAACCAGAGAAAAGGCTGGACTCGAAAAGGAACGCCTCCATTTATACAATGAGCTACAGAAAGCAAATGAGCAACGAGCAGAACTTGAGAACGAGCTTCTGCAGGCAAACTCCCTAATGGAAGAGCTACAGCGCGAGAAAGAACATGTTGTTAAGCAGGCTGAAGAGATGCGCCAAACAAACGGTAGCGGTGCATCTGTATTTGGCTCTACCAGTACTAGTGCCATTGTCTTAACAGATTTCAGCTATGCGGAAATAAAAGAAGCGACAAACAACTTTGACGCCTCCAAAAAGATAGGGGAAGGTGGGTGTGGAAGCGTCTACAAGGGATTTCTCCGTCATACTACTGTAGCCATAAAGAAACTGAACAGTGAAGGTGCAAGAGGAGATCAAGAGTTCAATGATGAGGTAATTAACTAGTAACTCTTAGTATTCCTTTCTTTTAATGCATGCCGCAAAAACATCATATATATTACTAAGAGTAGACATGCTGCCAGCTAAGGAAACACTAGTAAAATGGTGCATCTAAATATGTGATTTTCCTCTCATGTGTATCAATTACTGGTAGAAACACTCTGTTGGATGAGGCATCCGAACCTTGTCACTCTGATAGGAGCGTGCAGGGAGGCCAGAGTGTTGGTCTTCGAGTTCTTGTCAAACGGAAGCCTAGAGGACTGTCTGCAGCGCGAGAACCGAAGAGAGGCACTCTCATGGCGAATGCGCGTCAGAATTGCTGCAGGCATTTGCACGGGACTTATCTTTCTCCACTCCAACAAACCAAAAGGCATCGCACATGGTGATCTCAAGCCTGACAATGTCCTTCTCGACGCCAACTTTGTTTGCAAACTGGCAGACTTTGGGATCTCTCGCCCCTTGAATGTCACAAACACCACTATCACCCCTTACCACCGAACAAACCAACTCAAGGGCACAATGGGATACATGGATCCAGCATATATTCCCTCAGGGGAGCTCACGGCACAATATGACGTCTACTCCTTTGGAGTAGTGCTGATGAGATTGCTAACTAGCAAGAGCCCCCTAGGCCTTCCACATGTCGTGGAGGCAGCATTAAGAAAAGATAAGTTGGAAGACATAATCGATACTTCTGCTGGGGAATGGCCACCTAAGTACACTAAAGAGTTGGCAAAACTAGCAATGAGATGTTGTCGTTATGAACGAAAGGAGCGGCCTGATCTCGGAAAGGAGGTCTGGGATGTCTTGGAAGCTATGATGAACTGCCCAGACGATAAATGCAAGCCACCAAAGTTTCTCATATGTCCAATAACACAGGTCAGTTAACTAATCAAAGAAATGAATATCTTATGTTTCTCTCTCTTTAAAAAAAATGGTTATCTTAAGTTTTCCTGAGTAATCACCTACAACCTTTACAATTTAGTCACTAGCTAGATTAGTTAATGTCTACTCCAAGTTTGATGTAATAAACTTGCATCTCCATTATATTTTTCAGGAGATCATGAAGGATCCACACATTGCTGCCGATGGATACACGTACGAAGGTGCGGCCATCAAGCGCTGGTTTAAAATGGGGAACAAAATGTCCCCCGTGGCCCGCGTCAGCTTCGCGAACCATGAGTTGATACCAAACAACGCCCTCCGCTTTGCAATTCAAGAATGGAAAAAGCGACAGCAACCATGATTTCTTAACCTCGGATTTTATTTGTGTTATGATGCCATCATGTTTATGACTCGAAGCAAATAAAAAATGACTCCAAGTGTGTATGGACGGCCTGGACTGTAAGGAGTATTAGCATTAAGTCTGGGAGTCCTATTAGGCTATATTTTATGTCCTTGTATCCCATGTCTTGTGTAAACATATGAAAACTCATGTGTACTCCTGGGAGTATGTACTCTCGCTCTTCATATACCACACAGATGATGCCACTATGCCTCATTATTATTTTTAATATACCTTATTAATTATTACTAGATACCTTAAAGTGAGTTTTGTAAAAAAAAATTGGGTGCATGTATTTTATTTTATACACACATAAATTGTTATTTTGTATGCACAAATGGTATATTACGTAAACTATGGACCTTGGTGATATTTTTCATAAAATTTGTATTGAGGTACCTTAGAATAATTAATAAGGTATATTGAGAATGAAATTATGAGGTATATTGAATGTGGGAGTACATACTCCTAGGAGTACAGAAAATTCCAAAGAACGGAGCACTAGAATTTGGTGCGCTATTTATCATCCTTGGGTTGACCGAGAACATGGGCTGGGCATTCAAACAAACAGGTGGTGCGCAATAAGAGCCGTCCACGAATCTAGAGGAGAGGACGACTTACAGTAGCTCCAGCCATGCCCACTAATCTAGAGGAAGTTGCAGGTGGCATAGCAGCAGGTGAGTGTGTAGAGCTACTAGCCAATCTACTGCATACATACACATGACAAATTGTCAAGTCAATCTACTTATGCACAATTAGTCCCATGGAATGAGTCACAGAAAGATCAAAATAATTGGTATTGTAGGATTAGTAAAGAATGGTGTGGATGGAGAAGAAAGTCCAAAAAGCAGATGAGCCAATCCAAAACGCAGGGGACAATTCCAAAGCTGACCTGAGCTGCTCTTGGAGGACGCCAAGAGCAGCCAGCTATCTGCGATGGACGCTCACCGGAGCAGTCCTCCTCTTGCGGCGACGGCGAGAAGATGAAGGTGTACTATCTGGTACATCACATGCTCACCGAGTTCTAAAACCATGGAGATTGAGGAAAATAAACACCACTGCAATTTCTCTGACCTTTGGGTAGCGATACATTCATTACATCAACCGGGTAAACAATCGGTTCAAACGACTCTAATCACACCAAATCCACTCTCACAAACCCACTGATGCTTCAGAATTCAACACGGGACAGTAAGTAATCTGGCATCCATCCATACCACAAGCATTGTAATCCGACAACAACACACAAACAGACTGCCAGGCATCAAACTGGACGTACTAGTGCACCAACCTCTGCACATCAACTTGACCTTGTAGATGAAACCTTTACAGCCTGTTGGAGTTGGACTCTTGTTTCCTGGATCTTCTTCTCCTTTACAACCTGTTTGACTCTTGTTTCCTGGATCTTCTTCTCTGCATTCCGGGGGCTGCAACTTAGCGATAATTCTGTCCATAAGTACTTTCTCAATTTCCTTAGGCGATGGCCCTTTTCTCTTGAGGAGCTCGAGGAACGGCTTGTCATCCTTGAGGAACTTCTTGAGTTCAGTATTAGCAGCCTTGAACAGATTCCGGTTCGTGCCGGGCAATAGCATCTCAGGATTGACAAATAGTAGGTACACCATGTAGTTGGAGATTTCTCTGCATCCCTTGGCATTTTCATCACTAGCTGCTGTGTCAAACTTTTTGTACATGCACAAGTCTGTCGCCATGTGCCAGATGAGGACACTCTCGTCGAACGGCCTGCCTAGGCCCCATTGCTGGTCTTGGGCCCGCCCCTTGTGATCATTGGACCTCATGTAACTGGCAGCATCTAATATGTGATCCTTCCAGCAACCTTTCACATGTCGAAGAACCAACTTTGTAATTCTGGAAGATGAGGAGCATGACTTCATGCACCAACGCTGGTCAACAAAGTCCTTGCAGTTGAAGAAGCTAAGGATGCACATCTTCTTGATGTGTCTTTTGTTGCGGACAAAGAAACTTACTAGGCTATATTGGGCAACCATGTCAGAAAATGAAAGCCAACTACCTTCGGTTCGAAAATGAAGGGAAAACAGCTCCAACACAGCAGTACAACAGATCAAGGCATATGTAACCTTGACATCGTTAACATCATAAGCACCTCTGTTACTCTTGTGGAATAGCCCAATGGCTGTGAATGGCAATAGCGTACTTGCTAGCGTTATGTAGTTAGAAAAGGCTAGCACATTTTCCGACGCTCCATGTCCAGTACTTATTTTGGTGTAGAGAAGATCAAATGTGTCAGATAGCCCATATTGCAGAAAAGAATAAGCACCTTCATCATTCAGAACCCATACCTTCTTTAGGATCCTAAGCCGATCAGGATAAGATGATGCACGGTCTGCAAATAGCCTATAGAAACCACTCCGCAGTCTACGCTCCTCTTGTGCCGATCTCATTCGTTTCTCGAAAGAGCTTGTCGTGCTTGATGTCTGAGTATGGTGGTCGGGATCAAGCTCCGGTTCATCGCCGTCTCCTTTTGCTTGATGAAGATGGTTGGCCTCTAGGTCCACTCCATTGCCTTCTCCTTCGCCCTGACCATCGCAGACCTTGAAAAAATCCCTTGCTTTCTGCACATACTCTTCCAAAGAATTGATCTCACCCACCTTGCTAGCCATCCCCGGACCAGGGTCATAAAAGGAGACTATGTTATTGATGCTGGCCCTCTTGAGAGCCAAAGGCTTCAGTAAGCATTTGAGGATTCCAGGGGTGAAGAACAATATGGCTACCTGTAGCAACCTCTTGTCGCCGCCTGGCCATGTTTTCCAAAACACATAGATGGCTACGGTAATCTAGGACACGGCAGTGAGGACATGCCGCGTCCACAGCTCGTTGTCTTCGATGTTGTAGGCGGTTATCGACTCATATCCTCCGAGGTGCATCAGGAGAACCGGCGCCCACACCACTTCCAGGATGCTATTGCCCTGTCCAGAGCTACAATCTTGTCTCCTCTGGCGGCTGAAGAGGTTGGCCAGAGCATATATGGCTATAGCGTCGCCGCCTAAGTACGCGAGCCATATTAAGGATCTGAACCATGGAGGTATTGCACATTTACGTGTAGGGGCGGAGAGGAAGAGGAACCACTGGACCAGCAGGCTGCCAAGGACGAGGATGCGCAGCTGCCACTCCTCCCACCAATCCACAGCACTGGAGATACCCATCTTTGTGTTTCTCTCTCTCTCTCTCTCTCTCTCTCTCCGCCGCTTCAAACTCACCCCTTACTCCTCCAATGTATGTTTCTTATACCAAAACACGTACATCGGGAGGCTGGCTACATTTTGCTTAACTTGGCCAAATAGTTTCTTGGTCTTGCCTTTAACTAATGTATGTATATAGTCTGCATCTAGCAAGATGCTTATCTGGTTTATATGTATATATGCCTACTGTATTTCTTCTTATACTAATGCTTACATCAGAGTCGAGTGTCTGGCCTAATCATATAATTGTTTGACCTAACCAAATGCATAGTTCAGTGGACTTGCCTTAAATGTATGATTTGCATCTAGCTAGTTGCCTATTTATGAACACAATAAGTGTCGTTAGGCTGGCCAGAGAGGCTGGAGTTGCTCATATTATACTTGACTTGGCCGAAGACCCAGCTTGATTCGTTCCAATCTCACCTAGTCCGGTCTTTCTGCGCCTACAATGACGGTCTGCAAGATTGCTTGAATATACTCCTCCGTCCAAAATTACTTGTCATCAAAATGAATAAAAATGGATGTATCTAAAACTAAAATACATCTAGATACATCCATTTGAATGACAAGTATTTCCGGACGGAGGGAGTATATGCCTAAAAATGTTCTTGACCTGTCTGAATGTATGATTTGCGGCATCAATAACAGCCATTACTTCTATCTATGCCAACTACTGGCCGGTGCATCAAGCTAGGTGATCTTAGCTCTTCAAACTCTCGCCCGTTCATCCTTTATATGTAAACCACATGGTTGTGCAGTGTCGTCACATGCCAACGTCTATCTTAATAATATACTCCCTCCGTCCGGAAATACTTGTCATCAAAATGAATAAAAAGGGATGCATCTAGATGTATTTTAGTTTTAGATATATCCCTTTTTGTCCATTTTGATGACAAGTATTTTCGGATGGAGGGAGTACTACCTACTTGCCTTGGGCAGCTGAGTACGCTTCCCTTAAATAGTTAAATTCATGATCTCCATCTGACACCTAGACTTGATCCTAGTAGTATTATACTTGACTTAGGCAGAAGACCCAGTCTGATTCATGCTAATTAAGCTCGTCGGTGGTGACAGAGACACATGGGGGCTTCTATTTTTTCGCCTACAGAGGCGGGACAGGTTCAGTTGCTTAATTTTGTGTGGTTTTTCCAGTATTGGCCGTTACTTAATTTCTGGGGATGCTTCATCCACCCCAGGAAGGTCGGCACGACAGAGTGCCCACATCGCACCTTCAGACTAAAAAATATATTTTTGCGGGATAAAGAAAATTTCCGTCTTAATCTTT